ACTGTCTATCCACTTATAACGAAATCAGGCAACATCACTCCAAAGGACATAATGACGTTCTTACTTGCTACTCGTCTATGAATCTAAAGTGTTTATGTCACAAAAATTCTCAAAGCGTGCAGTGACGTGGTGACATGTTTCCAACCCGTTTTAAAATCTTATCTAAGCTAATATAAAGACTTCCCAACCAAGTTTCGTCAATTAGTTTCTATTCACAAAAGTTGTGTGTATTGTCATGCTTATCATGATTGAACACAACTCCTTTTCTGTCAAGAAACCGAGAAGTATAGGGCTAAGTTAGCTGTTGCACCAATATAGAGCAGCTGATAATAGAAAATTCGCTTCCAATTTCACCAAACACTTTACATAATCTTGTTTGACAGGCTGAGCGTATCAATCCAGGTCTTAAAGTCATTTGTGAAGGGTCAGCGAATTTTAACCATGATCACTTACATATATCGAAAATCATCGTATTTAAGCCATTTTTTATTGCTTCAAAAATGTTTCGATTAATAATACAAACAGTTAACATTGCATTGAAATTTTATTTAATGACAACAGAGTTTATAGTTTACAAGCCCACCAGAAAGAATGACGCTATTCCGTCTCACTTCTTCGCAAATTTTTTCTGCTGAAGAAATGAAATAAATAAGTGTGATAACGCTATATTATAGCAGAAGACCCCAAGCGAAGAGTGGTAGCGGTATCAAATCCTATGTTTCGCAATTCACAACTTTAGTTAAAGCAGTATTTCTCTTATAATTAATTTAGATGGATGGCACATACATAGATTTCTATACCAACTCAGTACTACATGTTTATACTCTTCTTGCTCTTTATTACAAAAATTGTTTTGTTGGTGTTGTTCCAAATATCTTCGTCGAGGATATTTAGGGACATTTTATTGCGAAATCGACAATGACTTCGGCACCTAGACTCAGACGTTTCTTGGTTTCTGTGACATAATTATATATTTTCAGATAATAACAAAATTGATTAACAATTATTAGTTCCAAGTTATTAATTTTGGAGATAGTATTGAGGTAGTTGAATAGTAATTAATATAAGCAATCTGCTTACTATTAGTGATAAGGATAGTATTGTATCTTTGTATCTTTGATATTCTGCTGATACATTTGGCTAAACATTTAGTCCCAATTAACTACTTGCGATTAGTATAGGTATTGTTGTGAATATCGTATAACAAATAAATCTTATACTTTCTCTTGTTCAGTTGAGTGTCGTCAGCAATCTTTCGCTGGATCTTTTATCCCGTGCAAGAGCTAATAATGTAATCTGGAAGTGATTGGCAGAACATAAACTCTTTTAATTCTCTTCAGTAGTACAGATTCGTTGGTAGTCTTTGAAATCCAATTACAAAGCGATAACTTGGCTTTTTTAGTACAGTAATAAGATAAGCTATTTACATAGCTATAATATTTATAATAACAGATATAAGATTTCTTCTACATGTTCAATATTATAACTTCAACAATACTTATAATGACACGTTAAAATAAAAACTTGAGTTTTAAAATTAAAAAATAACCATTTAAGTTAGTACCACTTATAACCCAAATCTACCACAACAAAACTGAGATCTTTCTAGTTAGCTAGAAAAAGATCAATTATTTGATTTCAAATAAGTCTCATAAATTGTAGACTATATAAGAAAAATTTAAGTAATATTACCACATAGAATAAATATCTGTCAATGTTGTATAATTTAAATTCATTAATAGATCAAAAAGAAAAAAGAAACTCCTGACATCTTGAAACCGTCTTAAATTCCTTAAATAGTTTTATTAAACTGTCTATTTCCGATTATTTTTATTTGTATTCCGTAAATGATATGTTTCTTCTTAATCTTGTCTTGTAGGTGGTTTATCGGTTTTGTTTAGTTATGGTTTTTTTATCTTTTTTTTTCGTCTCCATTTTACACACTTTGGTTTTGGTTGGCAGTGGTTTTTGGGAACTGGTTTCTGGGGCAACACTTTCAAGTGTTGCATACAAGTAGGAACACGTTTTTTTTTTAATTCATAAAATTTTTCGCCACCAGGACTGTGGTGAAGAAAAAAAATACTTTAACAGCGAATTGTGGAGTTTTTGATATGATTGCTTTTGAATTTAGAATATTTAAATAATGAGTCATTTTAGAGGTCAATGTTGATTGCCAACAGGTATGACTTGTATTTGTAACATGTGAGCGCATGCGCAGATTTGTAAATCGTGAAAAAAAAATTTCAAAAAATTGTAAAAAAAAAATTTTAAAAAAAAACTAAAAATAAAACGTTTTTAACATTTTTACATATTTTTGAACAAATTTCATGTTTCATGAGTAACTAATAGGAAGCTATGAAAGTCTGGATAGTAACATATCATTTTCTTTAATATTTGACAACTTTAATGGCTATATCAAAAACTATATATTATCGACTCACTATGCTCTTATAGTATTTGCATTTCTATTATTTATTAATCATATAACATATTTTTAACATAATACAGAAGATTTATACAATAACATAGTTAGGATTCCAAAGAGAAAGAGATTGGAATGTATTCTTGTGATAAAGCTAGAAAAGTAGTGCTAGCCAAAAACATATTTTCTATATATCTTCGTATATATCTCCTACAATTTTCCGTATAGAAATTTATGGGCTTGAAATGTGTACTAAAGAGTGCTTAAGAAGATAACAGTAATATAACATTATTATATTTGGATAGAAATGTAGTTATAATGCCTCCGACCTTGAACCGTTCTATTAAATTTAGTCCGGAACTCTTAAGAGTACTTAAAATATATGAATAGAAATGTAGAATAGCTCCGACCTGGAACCATTCAATCGAATTCAGCCCGGAATACTCTAGCATAAACAATTTAAAACAAACAAAAGAATTGATAAACTCCCTAAGGATTATCTACGAGTACCTAAGCCCAAATCTTAGCTACTAATACATGTTTCGACTTCATGTTATATAATAAGGGCATATAAGGGCGTTTGCATAGCTCAATACACTGAATGGATTGATATTTACTAATATTTAAACTCAACACGGGTAAAACCCTACCATCTCTTATGTTAAATCTTATATATTAAAGTAGTATATAGTACATTATTTTTATATATGTACTTTATAATGATGATCAATAAAATAATGTGATACATTTAAAAAGATTTAAAAGATTTATGTTATTTCTAGATATTTTCATATAATACCCATAAAACAATATTGTATATGTCATAACTATTATGATTTTAAAGGTTTTTTTTTACATCTTCATATTAGAATTACTGAGATGAATTTGATTTAGATTAGAATTACTTCTTTGGTGCTTGTCTGAATAAATTTTAAGATAGGGTGGACGAGCTTTAATGGTCAATTTCTTGTTTCGGAAAAGTTTTTTTCAGATTTTTAAGAATAGAGAAATGTTCTAACTAAAAAAATGCGACACATCTATTTATATTATTTATGGAAGGTATATGTACTTCTTTGTGTTAGTTACACTCGATTAAAAAGGCAATATAAAGTTAACGTTTTAGTTACTTTTAATTGGCTTTCGTTATAAGTCTTAGTTTCCTAAAAAGCGCAAAAACTCTTTGTACTTAGCGGTTAGTCTAGAAGCGTAATAGATCTGTATTCTATTAATGTTCAGACAGACATGTTTCTTATAAAGTTGTTTATTATTTTAAGTAGTATATATAATATAATAAAATTCTGCTTTTATAAAATGATAATTATTAAATTGTTCCTCACTTCTGTATTGAATAGATAAGCAATAATTGCTCAGAAAAAAATAAGGTTTGATTGGCTAAGAAACAGATACATATTGAGTTCTTTAACATATGGTTTGGTATATTCAAAACCAGCTAATGCTTGCTAAAAACACATCTTTTAATCGTCTATTATTTTAATGATGTAATGATAGTATAACAGCAATAAACTCAATGTTTATTTTATCTGTGTCTGGTATATCTGTTATTATTATAAGTTTGATTCATCACTGAAGTGTTTATATTAATGGCAAGTTTTTATATTTTTACATTTGACAACTGCAGAATGTTGAGAACGATATTGTATAGTTATATTTCCATAGTTATTGAAATGCTTAATGATCTGAATAGATTTATGATAACATAAATGCAAAAAGACACAAACTGTATATAGGACCTAGAAAGATAACTTAAATGCAAAAGGACACTAAATATAGGACCTGAAGACATAAATTAAATGCAGAAAGACACTGGAGAGATAACTTATATGCAAAAGGCCAATTACTAAATATAAAATCTGGAGATTTAAAGTTGTCATTTTTCTTTGTTACAAATAAATATCAGACGATCATTGCTAATTCATCAGTTTTTACATACTGATCTTTTTGACATGTCACCTTTAAACGATTGTTGTTGTCCTACATAACAGAGATAAACGACTTATTATTTAAAAAATCAGAGCCAGAGATCTTTTATCTCCTCTTAAAAATCAACTTAGAAAGTTTAAAACCTTTAGAACATAATACAACAGTAATAGAATAGTGAAATGCTAGAATCAGCGTGATAATTCATCATCGTGTTCTATGATATTTATTAATTTAAGATCTAACCGTTTAAATTTATTTACAAAATTTTCATTAAGAATATTGAGAGACTACTGATAAGTTTTGAAAAAGGTCTATTAAATCCGGATACTTTTTGAGCAGAAGGTATTTGTTTCTCTGCGACCCTCCAATCTGTAGTGATTTGTATTGGTCCGTGATCACATCTGATCTGGACAGCTCTATACTAGATTAAGGAGAAAGTAATTTTGGCTACTACGAAAATCGTTTAAAAGGAAATATATATACGTGTATGTATAGGTATGTAAGTCGATGCATATACATACCTATACATATTAAATATAATATATTAGTTTAATTTATTTTTTTTTATATTATAAGTCATAAAAAAATTTATTATAATAAATAAATAATGTATTTTTTATTAATTATTAAAACTTACCGATTAAAAATAATTTGCTTAAACAAAACGCTGCAATTTTCTTCCCTTTCGATTTTAAGAGGGGAAATATGTTATTTCACTGCACATTTAAATATTATTTGCTTTCTTATTGTAAACCAATAATTATAATTTTGCAATCAATTGATTGCGACACACTTCAAGCACAAAACAAAATATTTAATTGTATTAATTTTTTTATACTTTTCTGTATTTTTTTACTTTATTTGCTTCTTGTTTTTTTATTTTTAACAACAAACTACGCAAAGAAATCAGATTAAATTTTCTCACTTTTCAAGATCGCATAAATCAAAACAAAATATTCATTTACATTTGGCTGTGCAGGAAAGAGTGAGAGCCACTCACCACTCACACTAGAGAGTGGCAGAGAAAGACATTACTCTGAGTAAGGAGAGTAAAATATTGTTGTGCAAATTTAAATATCAAAACAAACACCAAAAAAAGTATGTAAAAGGCGCAACAAAAACAACAGCTAAAAAATATTGAGGAGTACAAAAATTACAATTGCTTATTGTTGCTGTTTTGTTGTTGGAATTATAAAGTATAATAAAGTGGTGTGCAGTAGAGGTGCAATATCAATTTAGGAACATTGGTTGCAACTTTACAGCGCGCCGTTTGTTTTTCAATGCTCACAAATGGCACACACATGCACATACACATGCATACATACATGCGTCTATAGAATGAATGAATTTATTTGGTGTAAGCAAATGCCAAAACAGAATGCATGTCAAATTAAGCCTCTCCTCTCCGCTCAAACATTGCTAGAGAGCACAGCAGAATATAAGCGCACATTTTATTTTTTATTCAGAAATTTAAAATAAATAATATGAATTTAAATAAATTTAAATAAAATAATCATTTAAACAATAAATGTTCAATTAAATACAAGAGATTTTTATGTGAAATTGTATTTCTTTGAGGAAATTGCTAATTATGTGATCTTTTATTCAAAAAAAAAATCCCACAAAACATTATTTAAACGTTATCAGTTATAAATTAAATTTTTTATTGTTTTTATTTATTTTTGTATAGTGTATATATAGTTAACCACAATTTATTTACACTTATTTAACACAAATAAAATAAACAATTAAAACACTTATAGAGTTACAATATTTAAAACCAACATTATTTTATTTTTATATTTTACCGCGCCGTTACACACACCAAACATTAAAAAAATTGCTGCATTTCAATTCATTTCGTTTTACGGCATGCAATTTCCTTCGAAGTATTTTTACAATATAAACAACCACCAAATCGCGTAACGAACGCGTGAACTCTACGAACACTGAATACGTCAGTAACTCCAACCACTCCACAAGCAAGTTGAAAACAGACTGAACACAAAAAAAAACAGAAAAAATATATATTGAGCAAAAAATGAACTTTGCTACTCAAATTGTTGTTGCTTCGATATTTCGCTCGCTCACCAATGTAAGAATAATTCATTTTTATTTTTTGTATTTTTGGTTTAACTACCAACCAAGTAATTAATTCTTAATGCTTGTAACAGTATTTATAGTTTTTAATTAAAACTGATCATTTTCTTCAGCATCTACGAAAAGATAATAAAAAATTATGTTGTACTTGTTTTGTATTTTGAATGCAGAAATATCAAATCAACGATCAACAAAAAACCGTACAGTGTTGGAAAATGTTTAAATAATACAAATGTTATCAGTTAGCACATGCATCAGCTTGACAACTACTGATCGCTTATTAAGGCCGTGTACGAATACGAGTAAATTGATTGTAAATTGAAGGAAATAGTAAATAATGTCGGATTGGCAGTGAATGTTGGTGTGAATACACACTATCTCAGTACGTTTGTTTACAGTTTAGCTGTTGTTTGTTTACATACTAAATATATGACAAATATTTTAAATTTCTGTAATTTCGCTTATGGGAAATCTATTTTCAAGGGATGCATTCGACATTTTTGAACTAATTTTTCTTATATTATTTTCAAGTGAGTTAAAAAGCATTGAAACTATTTATATGATTAATGAAATTTACTTAGCAATTTACACTTATTAAGTAAACAATGAAAACATAATATTAATAAATCAATCTAAGAAGAATGCATTTGGAGTATAATAAGACAGTGGTGAATTTCTTACTAGTAGCATAATACTACTAGTAAGACACCTCACAGCTAACGTAATTCATTTAACGATAATTGAGTCTATGGTTACACTTCATGACAACACAAAATATCAATTTCAACAAAAAATTAAAACTTAAATACATTAATTTAAAATTATTTGATATATATTTTACAATATAAATATAAATTAAACACCAAAAATATTGTTATGTATAATAGTAATTTGAGGAATGAGAGAATTTCAAACGGCGGAAATAAGGACGTGTCCGAGTTAGGTTAAGTTGCGTTCTAAATGAGGGAAATTTTAAGTTGTGCCGATAATATAGTGATGTGTCGATAAGTGTTGGTAAATGGCTATATGTGTGCAGTACAAAATATCTCCCATTGGTTTTAGCATCAACTTAGCCTAACTCGCACACATTCAAAATACTACTATTACTGTCTGACGTCAGTAGTAAAACAAATTTTTTTATAGCTCCATCAATATAATTGAAATCATTTTCAATCTTTAATTGTAAAATTTTTGTAGTATAAATAACAAAACTTTCTGAAGCATCGAATAATAAACAAAATTCATTTTATAGACTTCATTTAGAGGTTAATTTTTTAAATTTTTAAGATATTAGTTTTGAAATATTTTAATTTCATGTAAAATTTAATTTTTAAAGTCAATTATGATGAAAAAAAGCAGTTATACACGTATCTACAAATTTAAGGAAGATATTGAAAGACCACTGATGATATATATTTTGGTTATACTCGAAAGTGCTGTATGGTCAGCTAAGAAATTTAATTAGTTAAGATAAGGTTTTTGTTGTAATTCACTAGGAACCCTTCTTAATTTAATTTACCTGTTAATAAAAATATTTGCTCTATTTGAACGTAAGGTATGAAGCGTTTTTTTCTTAAATAGAAAGTTTCCTCTCCTGTATATTATTTTAATACCATAAACATGGCAACATCGCATTTTGTATTTTGCTTACACAACAGCTGATTGCTACAATTTGCAAAGTCGAAGCAAAACAGCGCGCATTTTAAATCTGTAAATTTTATATTAACAAAATATGAAGTAGTTCTTTAATATTATTTATAAATTTTACATAAAACAATACAATGAGTGATGATAATATCAATAGCGACATGGAGGATGAATGGAATGATTTGGATTTAGAAGATCCAGAATTACAACGCTTGCTTGATGAGCCTATAAAAGCCCGCGATACTTCGAACCTGCGTACGAATGAACAACATGCCGGCTTTGATGATAAAGTTGGTGGAAATTGGATATATCCCACTAATTTAGCACATCGCACTTATCAGTATAGCATTGTCCAGTCTGCACTATATAAAAATTGTTTAGTGGTGTTGCCCACAGGTTTGGGTAAAACATTTATTGCAGCAGTGGTCATGTACAATATCTACCGCTGGTATCCAATGGGTAAAGTTATTTTTATGGCACCAACACGCCCACTTGTGGCACAACAAATCGAAGCGTGCAAACGTATAATGCCATTCCCCAAGCAAGACACAGTCGAATTGACGGGAAAATTGCCAAAACCGCGACGTGCAGAATTGTGGCGTACAAAACGTGTATTCTTTGCCACGCCACATGTTGTACAGTCTGATATATTTACTGAAGGCAATTCCAGTGAATTTCCTTTCGAACAAATTAAATTAGTTGTGATCGATGAGGCACATAAGGCTAAAGGACGCTATGCATATACCGAAGTAGTCAGAGCGATTTCGGAGAGAAATCGTTATTTTCGTGTGCTGGCATTATCAGCAACACCAGGACGCACTATAGATGATGTAGCTGAAGTGGTGCGAAATTTATATATTTCTAATTTGGAAGTACGTTGGGAAAATTCCATTGATGTTATGCCATATGTACATCAGCGAAGCCTGAAAACTATCGCAGTGCCGATGAGTGATGAAATCAAACAAGTGCGTGAGGAACTTATTGAGATGATTGATCCTTTCGAAAGGCAATTAATCGATGCGGGCGTAATTAATGGTTCATGCACTAATATTAATCGTTTTTTTTTAATTATGGCACAAAAAAATTTTCAAAGTCGTTCACAACATGAACGGCATCCGCAACAGGCGGCTATATCGACTAATTTCTCAATATGCATTAGTTTATATCATGCACTGGAATTACTAGAACGACATGGCTTACGTGTATTTTTAAATCATTTCGATTGTGATGACGAGGGGCGCTCTAAGTTTGTCGTTTCAATGGTACCACGTTTGCAAAATTTAATAGAACGACTACGTACGGAACTTGGGCCAAATCCTTTTGATGTTTCCACAAGTGCAATGACAAATGGCCAAATAGCCGAAATGCCAAAAAATTTGGATTTTGGACATCCAAAGTTTGAACATGCGCGTGAAGCTTTATTGAAACATTTTGAGGTAGGTTTATTTGATATAAAGATTTATTTGGTTTTGCTTTAAAAATAGTTTTTATAGGAGCAACCAGATTCCCGTGCCATAGTATTCTGCGAATACCGTGAATCAGTGATGTTGATATATCGTTTATTGCTACAGAACGTACCGTTACTGAAACCTCGCTGCTTTGTAGGTGTGTAAAAAATATATTCATAATTATTAACTTATCTAATTGTTATTAAATTATTTGGTTTCTTTTTGTAGGTCAAGGTGGCACTGGTTCAATACGCGCTCTAACACAAAAACAACAAATACAGATAATGAACGATTTTCGTTCAGGAAAAAGTAATATACTAATAGCGACTTCAATCGGGGAAGAAGGTATTGATGTGGGTGAAGTAGAATTGATTATTTGTTTTGATATATGTACTTCGAATCCAACACGTTTTGTGCAGCGCATAGGACGCACAGGTCGTAAAAAAAATGGAAAAGTCTTATTGTTAGTAACTGAAGGACGAGAGCAACAAGTCTTAAAGGATGTATTAGCGAACAGAGACACAACAAATAAGAAACTACTTAACTCCACAATAGTCAAAGGTGCATTATATAAACATGCACCAAGATTAGTGCCTACAGAAATAAATCCACAATGTCAAAAAACTTTTATAGAACCGCTGAAGGAAGATGATTTGGACTTAAAAAGTAGTACATCGAAAAAGAAACCTCAAGAAACAAAATCAAAGAAAGGAATAAGTAAAAAAGAAACAAAAAAAACAATAGTAAAAGAAAAAAACAAAAAAATACCAGATAGTCAAGATCTACGTAATTTTTTTAGTAAAGCGGTTGAACCAATAGAAGAAGAACCAAAACCAAGTCGAAAACCTGTAAAAGAAAGTCAACAACAACAACAACAACAACAAAATTGTATGCAGAAAACATTAGACAATTTATATAAAGAAATAGATGATCTTGTATCACGTATAGATTGTGATGCCATCCTTCAAGGACAGTTGCCAGAACAGAAAGAAATAGAAAATTTTTTTAAAATAATGGAAAGCGCCGAAGCGCTCATACCGAAATCAGAACGTCCAAAAGATTTACTGACAAATTTGAAGTCTACGAAATATATGAAAGAATCAAAAATACTTGCGCTGCAGACTGAACCTGAATTTGTTAAAAACGTTATGGATAAAATAGATATTGTTATGGCGTTGAATCAAGAAGATGGCATGTCTAAAGAAGAAAAAGATATAAGAGATTCATATGATATATTAATATCCTTGTTTGAGAATCGAGAAGGAATACAAAAGTTTTTAGAAGATAATATGGTGGAGAAAAGAGAATCAGAAGAAGAGGATGCAGATAAAGATGAAAACGAAAATGAAAATGACGAAAATATATGTGATTGTGAAATGTTTAAAGAAGAGAATGAAAAACTTATGGCAGCATTAATAGAGGAACTTGATCTACCGCCTGACTATAAAACCAATCGTGAGTTTTGGAAAAAGCATGCTGAAGAAGCTAAAGATTTTGAGAAAATGTTAGATGAAAAACTTGCAGCTTTACTACAAGTCACTTCGTTGGACGAAATCAAAGAAGAAGATGATTTTGATACATTGACTGATTCTAAATATTGTAGTCAATGGGGTGAAAGTACGCAAGAACAGTCTAAACGGCCTGGATCAAGTATAATTGAGAAAACTAAACAAAAATCAGCTATTGATTCAGAGTTAGTAGATAAAATTTTAAATAGTTTAACAGAAAATGTTGAAGTTGAAAAAGACTCAGATGAAGATGTGATTTATGTGCCACCAGATAAAAGTGTATTCAATTTGAGCGCAACTAGTAATCAGTCGAACAAAAGTTTTACAAAACCCTCATGTTCAAAAGATTCAAAAAAATTGTTCAATTCCGGTACACCACTGTCGAAACAAATGAACTTAGCACCACTTTTCAATAAAGAGAGTACACCGAAATTTCAGAAATCCTTAGGTAAAACAAGCAAATTGGGAAATAAATCTGTAGATCCGTTCTCTGAGACGGCACATTCATTTGTTACTGTCAGTTCATTGATTGAGCAACAAAATAGTGGTAGTGTGAATCGAAATTTTAAACTATCTCCAATATTGGAAAATAAAGTTTCTAGTAAAAATAATTCATTGAAAGCATCAACTCCGGTCCATACCGCAATGTCAACAAAAACCTCTAAAGTGTCACCAATATTTTGTGATGAAAGTTCTTTGGTAGATTTAAACATACATGAAAAATCGAAAGAAACTTCAAAACCTGATTCCCAACTTATGTTAGACCTGAAAAAGGAATGTGAAGCTTCTAAAAAATCCTGTGACGATTCGCAAAAAGTAGAAAAATTAACCAGCGAAGGAGATCAACTTGATTTAACAATTAAAAATGAATTACTAACCCAAAGGACTAAAGAAAACGCTACGGATGAGAGACCTACATATGATCTTGATGTCGTTTGTTCAAAATTAACAGAACTTTTTAATACAAGTGCATTAGATAATAATAAGCCTTCTTCGTCTCAAAAGCAGGCTAGTAAAACTGATACCACCACTCCTGATGAAAATTTATTACATTTCTCTGATGGTTTTGATTTAATTTCATTCCTAAATGACACAAAACCACCGCAAGTACAACAAATTAATAAGGAATTATATGCTTCATCATTACCGCCTACTATAAAATTTGAACTTTCACCGGATTTAGACGATAAAATTACACCTAGAAATGATTTAAGGATAAGTACATCAAAGTCTAAACCACATATAAAAGACACAAATACCAAATTATTACCATCAGTTGAAAACAAAAGCTCACCACAAAATAAGCCTTCGATTTCACCATATGGTGAAAAAAGTTCTCTAAACACGACACAAGAGTGCAAAATAGAGACAAAAGCTGAAGCAGATTTAAATAAAAAGTCATTTTTTGAGGATGTGTATGTGGATTTCAATGATTTTTTAGAACCATTTCCTGAAGAAGTACTACAATCTGAGAATACTGTTCAAATACCTACGTCACAAACGTCAAACTCTAGTTTAAAAGAGAATGTGAATGAGCAAATATTCATACAATCGCATGAAAGAAAAATTCTTTCCAGTGATAAAACTTCAACTGTACAACATACCTTAAATAAGATATGTGAAAATCAAAAATCCAATTTACCTAATAAAAAAACTATACTTGGTCAGCAAATGTCATCTCCATTGCCAAAAACGCCTCCAAGGCAAAACAAAATAAATTCACCTTCAATGGCTTCACCACAACAACAAAAAATTTTAAATACACACAAAGTAGAGATATCGCCCACAGTTTTTGATAGATATATGAGTAATAGATCAAAAAAATCTTCACGTAAACCGAATTTAGCCAAGTTGAGTACTACGGTTAGTACAGCTGCGCCTGTAGTCGGAAATGATGAATCCGCAATAATCCCTCAGCGCAAAAGTTCAAAACGTAAAATTTTTGATTCAAGTGAATCAGATGAAGATGATAAGATATCCTTCAATAAAATATCTGATAAAGATATAGAAACTGATTGTGAAGAAATCGCTGCTACGCAACAGGTGAGAGAGATGAGAGATATGTTAAAAAAGATAAAAATTTATATTTTAATTATTTTTTAGGTCCATAGAAAGAAAAGATTGCAATATCGTAGCAAACGTTTTAAACATTGTTCCTTTATTGATAATGAGGCAGCTGTTAGTGGTTCGGATCAAAGCGATGATGTAGAGGAAGATACACTTGGCCAAATCGAATCCTTTTTGGGATCCAGTGATGAAGAAGGTAGTCATATTGTTCCTGGCACTCAAATGCAGGCTGTTTATCTTCAATCTGTAAAGTAAGTACATTAGTTAGAAGGTTTAATATACATTCTGTCATTAGCCAACTTTTAGCAAGATCAGGCGAAAACATATAGGATAACATTTTTTAAACATAAAGGATATATTTTTGAACAGGTTAATTGAACAATGTTAAATAATACTCAACTTCTTTTTATTAATTTCAAAAAAAATATATTTTATTGTCATTGATATTTCGACTATAGTCTATAGTCATCTTCAGGGTACGCTGAATATAGGTATGTAATGGCCGATTATATTCGTTATATATATCATATAGTTTACTACGCTGTTATTTATTATACGACAGTATGATGGATTAGTCGACTTTAAATGAAGTTTCTTTTGTTATTGTAAACAATGTACAACTTTAAAGACCGGCATTTTGAAAATCAAGTACATAGAGTGTTGAAAAGGATTGCTCAGAATATCACAATTTATTAAGATTTATTGTCAATACATAAAACTCGAATACTGCACATTTAATTATAAAGTAATATATATAATTGTATTTTTCTGTTTTATAGAAGTCCTGTTATTAATCGTGGTGGCTTCAAATTGCCAGCTCAACGTGTTTTCAATGATGAATCTCATATATTCTCTCAAGCTGTACCCGAAGAACCTTCGCATTATGAAAAAGACTCATTTGTGGTTGATGAAGAAGAAGCTGACAATAATAAAGATACCTCACTTTGTCCATTAGAACGTGCTGAAAAAATATTAAAACAGCGTCGTCGGGACAGGCATAAATTTCCGCAAGTAGCTGAAGTTCAAAGACGCAGAAAAAAAATTATTGTCATTGATGATAGTTCCGACGATGATTAGGCTTTGAATGAATATTTATTAATATATATATAAGTTTATTTATATATTATTATTATATTATAAAATTATTATTAAATTATTATGTTATTATTGTGTACATAAAATATTAAAAAGTGTTCTCGGTTATTGAAGATATTTTCGAACTCAACACTCTAAACAAGAATGTTTTAAAATAAATTTATTTTTATATAAAATGTTTTATTTTATTTTTATTATACATATGTTTTTATTAAATGATATATTATTTTTATTATATTATGTTTTTTTTTAAATAACATATTATTCTTACTATATAATAATATACTTTTATTATATATTATTTTTTTTTATTATTTTATTTTCATTATAATATTATAAAAAGCAAATAAAAAATTTGCATTGTTATATATATATTAATTTTTTGTAAGTACATAATATATTGCATGATACATTGCATCATATTGTGTATATAGATACTATGTGAAGTGAAAGTATTTCAAATTAATTTTTATATAAGTTTATAATGCATCATACTTATATACATATATTTATTATAAATAGTTTATAAATAATTACAAGAATTGCAGTATTGAAAAGAACAAAGAATAAAATTAAAACAATAATGAACACCTAAAAAGATTTTTTGTAGAAAATATTGAACTTACCAAAAAGTGCTAGAAAAAAGCAATAAAATACTGTAAATATCACTTTATTTTATTGTTGTGCACAATATCCTTTATAAATACATGAGCTATGTCAGTTTTGTTGAATGGTATAACGATATAGTATACAAGTTGTTAATATAATATCGATTTAAGATTACTTATCTGTTTCATCTATTCTCCAGTATGTTTAAAGTTAACTTCGAAGTTTTGTGCTGAGTGACAGTATAACAGAGGGATGAACCCATGAGGTATAGTGCTAGACTATATAAATAAATTTTAACCTATAACACTATTTATTGTGGTGTTATACTATATAAATAAAAAATATTTATATATTCTAGCACTACACTTATAATAAGACTATCTATTATAACTAAATAATATAAATGTTTCCTCAAAGAAATTTATTTAACTTTATAGACACATAATGTGCATTTAAACATCACAAACATACAAAATACATACATACAAAAATACATACAAAATCTTTATCTAGATCTTATAAAATCCTCTTTAACTAAAAGAACTCTCAAAAGTTGAAATGAAAAGTATTCTTCTCTCTCTAAGGTTTCCAAATAGCATTAACTTTTGTCGAACTAAAATAGGATTTTTTAAGAGGTAGCGGAATAGATCTTAGATATAGCCTATGAATCTCGTGAAACCAAAAGAATTCTGCAAAGTTGAAATAAAAAATATATTCCAAGAATTGTAAATATATTCTTTATCTAATTTAAGTATGTAATGTTGCTTTAGGAGTATTAGAGCAGATCTTATTCATTAGGATATTTTAAGATAAATAGGAAATTGGTTATAGTTTATTATATATTTAATCTTTATCTGATTTGAATAAGATATGTTGCTTTAGTGGTAGTATAATAAATTTTATAAGATGCTATGTACCACTATTCAGTCCATATGAATAGTATAAGTATTTTAAAAGTAAGTTAGGAACAATACAGGAAAGGTTATTCTGGAGGTTCTACATACATGAAGTATTAAAAAAGTAGCATAATATATATTTGAAGCTAGGGTAAATTGTGGTAAAAAATTTATATAGTTGATCTATGGATAGATTATATAAACAGGATATATACTTTTCTATAAAATATACTTTGGTTTATTGTATATAAAAAATGAACTTAACATATAGCTTAATAAATAATAAATCTTATAAGAATATACATATATATATCCTCACTATATTTCTTGCTTAAACTAAATAGCTTCTGGTTGGTAGATTATAATCACTTGAGCTGGGTTTAAACGTTGTATTATGACGTTGCTTGTATAGATCACGTGGTTGTATATACACCTCTTTGAAATCTTCTGTTAATATTTGACTGGGTCTTGCAGCCAATATACGTGGTGTACTCATATCAAATTCTGGTTCATAAACATTTTCAACTAAACCTTGTCGAGATTTTGTACGTGTACGCATCTCCAGAAAACTATCAACTTCAACGCTCTTTCTAGTAATTTTTGTACAATTTAATATAATACATAATAAAACACAGAACTCGATTACTGCTATAATTAGACTGGCTCCTAAAAATACTACATATTGCTCTCTATACCAGTTGTCCAAATAGTTAAGACAGGTATCAGTGTAACGAAAGCGTTCATATTCTGATTTTTGCAACATTTGGCATTGTGTTTCATTTGCTGGTTTCGGATCCAAATATGAAAGTTTATCAGCCGAATTTTGTAGTACACAACATGTTAAAGGTACGGCCCAATCACGTTGACCATAACCCTGTAATCTCCACATGGATGTATCATAATTTATTTCACTGTTCATGCCACAACAACCGAAACGTGTTTGTGCTAAATCCATAGCAATTGTAAATTGCTCTTTACCAGGCACACCATAATTGCCTTGTAATGCTTTTACCATTTTTGATTCATCCAAACTAATTCCAAGACAATGTGGCCAGAGGGTGATGGCTAAGCAAGCAACCGATTCAGCAAGTAGAAGAACTACTACGGCAAGAAAATATAAACTCAAACAGCAATAAGTGTTCAAGCAAGAGGCCCAAAAACCCATTATGGCAGCGAGTACAGCTATTAGACCTGCTACAGCTAGACCTATTGAGATATAGTAGAATAATGGTTGTGGCAAATTGTTGAGTTGATCACTCGTGGCAGCTAATAAACGAGAAAGCAATATTCGTTTTGTATCCGTGAACAAATAAAATCCCGATATAATCAATAATGTTCCACATGTCTGTAAGTAGTAGAAAAATAAGTTAAAACTCATCTATTTATATAATTTAAATATTTTTTAGTTAAAATTAATTATATATATATTAACATATTACATATAAACATAAAATAATAGAAAAATTTTAAGTGTGCCGTATTAATCAACCGATAGGCCCGGAGCAAAGGAAAATGTTTGTCTTCAAAAACATCGATGGAGGTAAAAGCAAAGTAGAAAAATGGATTATAGATTATACATTCTTGAAATTGTTTATAGGTAGAACAATATTGTATTGTTCTATTTTTTTTCATAGTCTATATGTCATTAATAAAACTCAAACAAGTGTAGCTTATGATCTGTTTACTTATCAGTTCTATCAAACATACATAAGATCGATTCTATACATTGATAAAGTATTAGTATATATGATAAGGTATATAATAAAGTATATAGTATATATGATCTGTTTACTTATCAGTTCCATTGAACATAAGATCGCTTCTATGCATTGATAAAGTATAGGATCAGTAAAATGGTTTTATTTCTATTAATGATCAAGGCTTCACAGTCCTCAAGGAGTCAAAGTTTTTAATTTTGTTATATTAGTTATATTATTTTAACATTATTTTTAACTTCATATGAAGTATTTTTTATCTTTTTTTTTGTTATTTAATAATACGTCATTATTATAACTGTGGGAATTATGTTTATGTTTTTCCTTTTCCAGCCATTTGAAATATATAAATTTATTTCGATAAGACGATCATTGCAAAAATTTCAAATTATGTTAAATAATTAAAATAAATAGTACAGACCTTCAATTGCCGTATCATATCACCATTTTTTTAAGTAATTAACAAACACTGAAAGCAATTTAATATTTAATTAAGACTTTTTTGAACCCATTTTTAAAAGAGTCATACGTATTATATTTCCAATTAATATTAAATAATGAATAGTTGACGAATATACTACACTGTATGATTCGAGTTACGTTAAATATACTATAATAGTTTTTTATTTTATGTTAAAAATTAATAAAAAAATATTAACAATAGAAATGGTAAAGTTTAGGTACTGAGAGATTTTCTGCTTAACATATAGATTACTTTCTACTGAAGTCAAGGGCTATAAAAATTCTCTATCGCCGACGACTTCTTTTATCAGTAAAACAAGATACGTTGAAGGTCTTATCATGTATCACATCCTCAATTTATTCGAATACTGAAGTCAAGGGCTATAAAAATTCTCTATCGCCGACGACTACTTTTATCAGTAAAACAAGATACGTTGAAGGTCTTACATCATATCCTCAATTTGTTGGAATAGGTCTCTTCTGGCCGCAGTACCGGCTGTTGGGCAATTTTCACGTATACTCTTTATTATTATTATTAGGCACGGTTGTAAGGCAACCGTCTCATAAGGTCTTATAAGGTTTGCAATTAAAACCAATTGATTAACAAGATGTGGTTGAGCAGGTAAGTAAAAAGTTCTAAAACTATTACAACGACATTTAGTCATCTCTAAGTCCAAAAATTTTTTGTAATCAGGAAAACTATTACCTAACAAAGAAAAAAACACGATTACTATTTCTGGGGTGCCCCTATCAGAACAACGATTTCAAGTAACGATTTCTATTCTGAACAAATTTCTCTAATACACTAAATATTGATATAGTTTTGTTCTCAAGATATCGAGATTAAAAATTTGTACACCTTTTATATTGATAATATAAATAAAAATTATATAAACCCACCTAACAACAACTGATACAATGTATGATATTTTCAATAGGACAGCAGCGATTTTTCTTTTCCTCACAAGAAATCTAAAGAGATACGAAATAAACACTAAATCCACTCCGGTCAGATAAAAAGTCTGAGAGTCTGACAATCTGTCATATGGCAAAGTGGAAAAAGTTAGACAAAGAATAGAAATTGCCTATTAGATTACTTACTTATTACTTAGATCCGTTGTCAAATTGAGGCGCTTCAAAATCTGACAAAATATCTTATACCAAAGTGAAAAAAGTAAGAAGAAGAATATTATATAAAGTATTAAAAAGTGCTATCGGTTATTGATAAAAGCAAAGGCAAATACAAAATTAACACTCTTGTCATATATATATTTATTTTTTGTAAGTCCATATATATTGCATTAAATTGCGTATATAGATATTATGTGAAGTAAAAGAAAGTGAATAAACTTCAATTGAATTTTTATATAAGTTTATAATGCATCATACTTATACACATATATTTATTATAAATACAAAAATTGCATTATTGAAAAAAGCACAGAATAAAATTAAAACAATAATAAACATTTTCTGTACAAAATCCCCCATAAATCATTTTTCCGCTCCATGATAATTTTAAGTTATACTACGGAGTTTAAGTTTTATGCCTTAGTCGAATTTAGCGAAAAATAGTTTATCGGAGTATGAAGATCACAGTACAAAATTAACATTAAAAATATTGAACTTACCAAAAAGTGCTGTACAAAAGCAATAAAATACTGTATATATCATTTTATTTTATTAATGTGCACAATAACTTATATAAACACATAACATGTTATAATATTAAAATGTATAACGATATAGTATACAAGCTGTTAATATAATATCGAATTAAGATTACTTATCAGTATCTTCAGTTTTCAGTTTTCTTGTCAGTTTCTAATGAGTTATTAAAATTCTATATATACATTACTTAAAGCTAAACTTGAAGAAATATGTAGGATTATATATGATTCGTTTTAAATAAAATTAATTAATTAGCCTATTCCATATTAATACAGACATAGGGAGTTTAAGAAAACCCGACTTATAAACTCTTTAACATCCCTAAAACGTGTTATCGGATTTGTTTGTGTTGTACTCATACATCTCTAGTTCATTGAAAAATCTTTTGTATTGAATCGGTATACGATAGATACAATATCAATATCAAAGATATAAGCTGTTTGAGCAATATAAATATCACAAAACAGTACTCGCAGTATGATGAAGACGTGAGATGATTGATAGCAAACATATGTAGGAAGAAAGGAGAAATATAATTGGAGGAACTTGGGTAAATTGAGACTACCCTATTTCTACGTGAAGAAATCTAGACAATTTGATGGACGGAACTGCTTACATTTATGTGTGCTGAGGGACAGTAGAACAAAGAGGCGATGTCAAAGAGTTCTGGAGTTGGTGCACAACTTAGTCTACATAGTTATAAATAATATAAAGATTATCTCAAAGAATTTCTTAATCTTTAAAGACATATAATCTGGCATTTTAACATCACAAGAAAATATCTTAGTAATTTTAGATTAGATTACTTATTATTTAGATCTTTAATCTTTAAAGACATATAATCTGGCATATTAACATCACAAGGAAATATCTTAGTAATTTTAGATTACTTATTATTTAGATCCATTGTCAAATCGAAGAATCTGACAAAATGTCATATTGAAGGGTGGAAAAAGTTGGAAGAAGAATAGGCAACTTTACCTCGCTAATTACCTGTTCGATCTTTATGGACTCAAATTGTTTTTGATCACTGTCTTAATTTAAACTAAGATAAGGTCAAGGGGGTTTGATTGTAAATTGTGTACAGTTGAAGTGACTTTGTAATGGTTCAATTGGTCTAAATGGTGTCAAATTTCTTCAGATCGTTGTGTTAACCAAAACCAAAATAGAATGTCGGTGCTTTTGTTATATATTGTGTAAATTTGTAGCGGCTTCACATTAGTTCAATCTGTTTAAATGGAGTCAAATTTTTGAGATTGTTATCTTAATCTTAACCAAAATCGGGTGTAACTGATTTTATTATATATTTTGTAAATTAGGAGTAAAATTTCTTAAGGTCGCTGTATTTACCTAAACCATAAAAATAATAATGACCCATGAGAACTTAATAAAGTCTAATTTTTTAGGTTTGCCGTCCATAAATATAATTAAAATAGGGTATTGGATGTTGTATTACACACTTTTTATAATGTATGGAATTGTGTTAAAGTCTATATTTGGAAGCAACACTAGGGTATTGGTCTTCATGATCATAAAACCGCCACAAAATATAAACTATTTGAATATTTTATTTAGTATGTAACACTTTTCTTCAAGAAGTTATTAAACTCTTTATAACCAATTTGCAATAATAACAACTTCCTTTAACAGTAAATAGAATTTCATAATTGTTTCCATTAAAATCAAATTTATAACTGCAATAACTCAACTTTATTATCGAATAATCGGTTTACTGAACATGACCGAGTGTTAATTACAGAGTATCAGCGACGCAATAGAAAAACTGAAACCCAAAGTGCACTCATTAAAGGTAACAATCCAACCCACAACAGTAATACCAACCAAAATAGCAAGACCAACCGACTGTATTATATGAGGAAGAATTCAAAATGGTGAAGTGAATAGCTTTGAACTGTGCGGAGTGAAATGAAGGCAACCAACCATAACAAATGCCAAAATATAACAACAAATAAATATTTATAACAAATTCGTTGTTGTTGTTGTAGTTGTTGTTGTTTAGTGTAAGTGAAGTAAAATGAATGGTTCGAGATCCCGCATATTATTAACAATTAAGGTTTCACTTTTTTTGTATCAGAAACTTACCAGAAATAAAAAATTACAACAATTTAAAAGGAATTTATGCTTCAGGCAGAAAGCCATTTTATCCGCATAGAATAGCACCTATGAAGCCGCTGAAGTTGACAAAAGAATCTCTGCTGAGACGGCAAAGAAGAATTACAGCTTCGAAGAGTTTTAAAACATAAGAACCGCACGATCAGCACAAACGCAGATAAATCTTCCATAAATTTTAAAAATAATCACACATCACGGTTCTACATTTTAATCCAGAATTTATTAATTATTTATACCAATTATTTTTTTTTTTTTTGTTGTGTGGCTTCTCACTCTTTCCTCGATTTGCAAATGCTTAAGTACGCGCTGACCAAACCGATCGATCTTCACCAAAGCGTCACGTACCAGTTGAAAAGAACAACTGAAGAGTCTATTTTGTGTTGGCGCAAGCAAAAGTGGCAAGACCAATGCCACAAATTAACAACAACAACAATTACAGTATAAACGATAACAACAACAATAACAACAAATGAGTAAACAAACAGTTTTAAAGCAATACAAGCCATACATCGCACATCATGAATGGGAAACACATGGAGAGAGAGAGAAAACCCAAGAGAGATAGAGAGAGAGAAGGAGCTTATAAAAAGCATTGGGTGTTGGTGCTCTTTGAACATAATTGAAGAGCTGTGGATTAGCACAGACAACTGTGATATTGAACTGTTGAAAGAAGAATATAAATTTATGCATTCTGCATTGTAGGGGAGTGTGAAGAACGTGCTTTAGAACCGTTTGTTCCGTCTTATCGGTCAATGGTTCCAGTTAATCAAATCAAAACAAAAATTTTGGAAATGTTTTGTTTACATTTTAAAATGAGATATGAAATTGTTTTTAAACATAATTTTAATTGTGATTCAGTAGCGGATTTGCGCTATGTAGCACCATAGGTGTCTACATACAAGTGTTCAATCCATTAAAAAAAATATGAAATATAAAATAAAAATATATATATAATATATATTTTATAATTGCAACTATTGTATATTTAATGCGTGAGATTCATTAAAGAACTAATACAGAAACTTTTAGGATGGGGCAATAGAAAAAATTATTTTGTCACTATTCGAATCCAACCAGATAAAAAATTAATTTAGCAGTTTTGGTACAGAGATTCAACAAAGCTTATAAGATTTGACAATTAAATCGTGTGATTTATCAGAGTTAGTTGGAGAGGTGAAAATAATCTCCAGCTTTACTAGCCCGAGGTCTATGTGAACCTAACGATTTTCTTTGTTAGTTATTTCTTTGTCATGATAATAATTATAATTAAGGACAAAAAATATTTGTGCCAATATTCTAATATATCAAGATAAAGAATTAACTTAACGTTTAGGCATAGTCAGTTTGGATAAGTTAGAAGATTAAACATTTAAACCATATGGTTTATTAAAATAGATTGACGAGGTGAAAATTACTACACTTTGTTGTTAAAGATATTATTGTTAAAGTATTATATATAATAATAATAATAATAATTCAGGATAAAAAGTGTTTGTCTCACCATCGGAATCTATCCAGACAAAGAATTTACTAAGCCGTTTAGACACAGTGATTATATAGACGTTATAGGGTTTGAAACTTAAACCATGTGGTTTATTAGAATTAGTTGAGGAGGTAAAACAGTGTTATTACAACATCCCTCAGGTTTATGTCAATCTAAGGATTTTCTTTGTTAGAGATTGTCATGATAATAATTAAAGTTTAGGAGAATTGTAAATAAATCCATTGTTTAAAAATATTTAGATTTAAAAATTAATAGGTGTCTATAAAAATGTTAAGGGTTCATCTACAGATACTTATTTGTACAATATAATGTTATTCAGAAAAATTTTTTACATCTATCTATCTATCTTTTTACCATAACCAGTATTTCTTAAAAAATATTTTGTTGGGGCCTCTAACAAAAGAAAAAGGGATTAGAAGGACTTATTTCGAGTTGTGAATTAGTCATTACATTGAGCTATTTACAGACATTTAATAAATGTTCGTTGGTTGCCCTATTAGTAGAGTGCAGAAGAGGGAAATTCGCTTTCTACATTTTTCGAGACGAAAAATACGGTAGAAGAGATATGACATCTCAGATATCGGAATAGGGGATTCTGATACTACATCAAATATATTCATGCAAAAAATAATGTTATAGAGATATGAGTTCATTAAGTAGTGCTATAAATAAGATATAATAATGTAATATTTATTATCAGATTTATGCTTTCAGTTGTTATAAGTAAAATGAATTTTTTCCAAAGAGCACGAATTTTTCCCAAATTAGGTGGTTGCTGTGAGAAGTTCATATATTTAATATTTTTTAGTTCAATATTTCCTAATAACACATTTTGATTGGCATATTTAACGTGGTATTGAACTTGTGTTTCAAACAATTCTTACCATAACTCAGAGGTATGTGGGTTTATCTACAAGCTAAATATACATCTTATTAATTTGGAGACCAGCTATTAGACCTTAATAATACTTAAATTAATAAATTGCTGATAATTTAGTATAATGGTAGAAAAAATTAGATGGTTCAATACTAGTTCATGCGAAATACAGTAAAAAATACAGTAAAAACTGAACTTGTTTGAATAAAATGCTGTTTTAATGCACTCTAGCGGTGGGTTGTATCACTTTGTTCTGCGAACAATATACGAGTATGTTATATATAGTTGCTACCAGAATCTAGAAAATGAAACTATCATGTAAAGTTTAATATAAATATTTGTGATTATATTATAAAATTTATAGAAAATAATAAGTAGAAATAGTCTATGCTATTCTGTGCAATATTTTAAGGAAAGATCGAAAGATCAATATAATTCCATTAAAAGTTTCGACTAAAGTGAGGTCTAAAAAATGGAATATGATGGCATAAAACAGTTGTTAATGTGAACCTTAGTATATAAAAATGATTTTATTAATATGAAATTTATAATAAATTTTAATATATAATATATATTATAATATTTATATAGCAAGAAAGATTGTATTTGTCATGTATCGCTTTTCTATAATACTCCTTAGAATGGTTTTCAATTTGTATAAAAAAGAACGATTTCATTGGATTAACATATTCTATTTAAAATCTTGTTAGTTTCTATGCAGGTTGGCATCAGTCTTCATTACGGTTCAAGTACTTTCGTTTTGCTCTAGATTTTATGATTCATATGCTTTTGTACTTGTAATGCCCCCAAACAATGACATCACAAATACAACAAATATAACAATAACAAAAGCTACTACAACAACAATATTAATAATATATGCATGCTACACTTAAACAGTGGCAGCAGTGATCATTGGGGTCAAACCATTTTAATTAGAGAAAAGTGAAGTTCCTCTCCCACTCATGTCCAAAATTTTTATTTAATGATTTACATAAACACAGCAAGCCGACGTTTATGGGTTCCTAAGTGCAGCCAGTATGCGGCCACACTGCACGTTTCTCTCGGTTTTCTAGCAGTGAATGGATGTGCGGTACAATTATTTGTGGCATCATTACTTGACAATGCTTTAAGGTTAGTTTAACAGATTCCTATATAATAAAATATATATAGTATAATAAATCATTAACATAAATTAACTGCAAATCATTATATTAAATTTGTTAAATTATCGTATACACTCTTGATTAAATTGTAAGACAAATCGTCCTTTAAGATGTATGTAGAGAATCGTATTGAAATCTATTAACTTCATACTTATCAGGTATATGCAAGGCATTTGGACTATTAAAAATTAGGCAAATAAAGGATTAAATGCTTTAATTTTGGATATATAAAAAACTATTAAGAATTTCAGGAGCTACTTGTAGGGCCAATATCTCTGTATTGAGAATCTAAACCAAATTCATAAATATATAAAGAATCTCCGCTAGTCCGAATGGTAATTGCGATTTATCATCTATACTTTATTGCGGTTTTTAAAAGTCCTAAGGCATTTATTATAACGTTTCTTCTAACATACATAATAAATAATAATAATAATAAATGCTGAACTTTTTATGTACTATCTTGAACTTAGTCAAAATATCATGTTCGGTATTCGTATTTTCACGTAAACTGGAAAAATGTAGTAAATGCAAAATATATATTATGTGGTTCATAGTTCAAATTGACCACTGATTCACTAATCTGGATTAGATAGTCTAGTAAAATTATTTATAAATATCATTAAATCTATGATATATATGCACTTTGCTATTTACTTATATAGTTAATCATTTATCAAGTGAATGTGTTTTTTAATTTATGCATTAATTTAATGACCAGTGGATTATTATACAGTTTTTAATCAGTTCGTCTTGTTAAAATGAACACATAAACACATATAAGAATTATTCTGGATTTTTAAATCACTCCCGTAATCCAAAGAACTCAGTAATCTTGATTAAACTCAAAATTTAATGGATCTGGATTAGTATCGTTGCATTGTAATAGCGAAACGATCTACTGATTCTAGACAGCACAATAAGTAGCAATAGTAATCGTTAGTTAGGTAATGCTTAGTTAATGAAAAAATCTGTTACGAATCTGAAACAAGGGATATAATATACAAAGCTCCAGATCAAAAAAAATTCCACTCTGCAATAATTATATATTGCTGTCACGTTCAATCAAATCCAATAGACTGAAAAAAGAAGATCTAACCAGTGTTGACTTAGGTGACTTACTTGACAGAACTTGACTTATGTAGTAGATATCATTCTAGTTACCATTTAAAAAACATTGAAAGATTTTTTGTAGGGATCAAAAAATGAAAGTTGACCGACACTTTCTCAACTTAAAAGTTTATTTTAAATTTAAATTTTATTGCTTATTTATTCAGGTAATTGAAGTTGCATATTAAGATAAACTTTTGCATTTGTTGAGATTAGCCATATGTGGGTGAATGTGGTTTCATGTTTTCATTCTATTCATGAGAGTAGGAACCATTTGCAGAACTCGAACACTTATTCAATTATTAGTTTTATCAGTAAGTGATTTCGTTGCATTATTGATTACAAAATAAAGTTTTTATAAAAATAGAAAATTTGTTAGGTTCTCTAGTTTCGATATACCCCTTTTTGCTGTAATGCTAATGTAACTACTTATTCTATATTTTATTTACAAATTGTTAAATACGTTATTTTAAAATTAGAAATACACATATTTATTATTTATACATAGTACCATAACCAATTTTCTGTGTTAACCCTGCAAAATTCCTTTGTTGGGTCAATCACTTTGTTTGATTTGTCTACCAAATCAAAGTGTCGTAGAGCTTTATGAAAAGATTTAACAATAAAAGGATGAGACTTCTTCTACAATTAAAGTGAGAGAACCTCAGAGTACCAATCGAAGTCATAACATGGTATAACACAGGTG